CAAAAGACAAAATCCAGATCTACAAAACAAATGATTTGACTGCAGCTTATAAACTTTGATTCTGTGTGTGACCGCTCACAAAAGTGCATTGATTTACTGTTAGATTGTGATCGATCCTGTCTCCATGCAGGGCAGGGATCTCCAACTCCGGTCCTCGTCAGCTACTGTCCTGCAGGTTTTAGACGTTTCCGTACTGCAACACACCGGACTCAAACTAATGGATCATTAACAGACTTGTGTAGAAGCTGTTGAAGATCCATTAATTTGAATCCGGTGTGTTGCAGTACAGAAACGTCTAAAACCTGCAGGACAGTAGCTCACGAGGACCGGAGTTGGAGATCCTTGATGAAGAGGAAAATTATGAATAACTAACCTGCTGATAATCCACATGTGGAAAAAGATGTAGATCCTTCTGCTGTCTGATGCTGCAGGTATGTACCACACTCAGAGGAAAGACGACTACACTCAGCTGGAATCAACAAACTTTAGCTCCTGTTTAGGTTTTGTCAAAAACTATTTTACATTTTTAATTGAGTCTCATTTATCCTCCGTTATAAAGTCTGTCTTCATGTCAAAAAAGGTTTTATTTTCATTGACATGCCAATTTGTAATAACTGCAGAGCAAAGTAAATCATAAAAGTTTTATGTTTGCGGCATAAAAACTGTCTCTTTTGGTCTGTGTGGTGTTTTTGGTCCAATACTGAAATGTGGTAAAAAGCTGCTGCCGGCTTATTAAATGTTTATTTCACCTCTTAACATTAGTGTTTGAATGTTAAACTTGTATCGCATACATAGGTTTCATCACTCACCTGTGAATTCTGATGTGAGTCTGCAGCGTGCTCTTGGCTGTAAAACATTTCCCACAGATCTCACAGGTGAACGGCTTCTCTCCTGTGAGAACAGACACTGTTCATATCATTCACACTATTCATTTGCTAAAAGATGATTTTGAATTGTTTGGTTTTACCTGTATGAGTTCTCAGGTGCTTTTTCAGTTGAGCTGCATCCATAAACTTGTGATGACACTGAGCACATTCTGGTAATGATTTACCTTGAGTTAAACAATAAAGAATACATTATTCAACCTTCAGAGTGACTGGACTGAATGACACGTCTGCTATTGCCGTGTTTTGTTTCCTACCTGTATGAACTCTATAATGGCTTTTAAGTTGCTTCTTCTGAGTGAAGGTCTTTCCACATTTATCACAGTTGAAGGATTTCTCTCCTAAGAAAACAAGTAAAATAGAAAAAACTTGGAGCAGAGAACAAGACACTGACAGACAATAGAATGTGATGGTTAATGGGAATAAACGTTAACAGTTTAAAATTCACCAATATTAGCTCGTCTTCTTAAACAGTAATGATGGGAGAAGGGTAATTATCAGCAAATATATGTTTTTACAGCTAATGTTCAGGAAACTTTACTCACATTTCCTGAGATTTGCTGGCATTTAGTAGTAAGATACTAGGACAACTTTCAAAAAAGGCCTTCATAGTTTGGTATTAATTGTACAAAACAGGAAATGGAAGAAGTGTTAGTCGTGCTGTACTCCGGTTTTAAAGGTCCAGTGGCTAACAAATGTGTCACGTTGCATCATGTTGTTATTTTTCAGTCCTGTCATGCAGATTTATGTATTGAACACTGTTACTTCAGTACAATTTTCAGGTACCTGTACTTTGAGTATTTATCCGACAGCTTTAGGTACTTTAAAGATGAAAATTTTACACAATATTTATATTAACAATCATTTAAAACACAACATTCAGTGGTTTTGAAACGCTTTGGCTTCTCACAAAAAGCAGCGTGTGGTCACATTTTCACATGTCTATAAGCTTCAAGGCTGATTTTTTTCTTTTAAACTTCTCACATGGTTTCATTACAATAAATGTTCAAATGGTCTAATATCTTAGCAACAATCAAACATTTTCAATATCACTTTTTTAGTCTGTTCTCTTGTTTGGAGTCCTCACATTTATCTGCTGTCCTTTTAAACAAAACTTTACATAAAATAGTTAAAACTGCAGCAGCTCTAACAGCAACAAGCTGCCGACACACTGACGCTTCACTATGAATGATCTGACGATGTCGTATGTAATAATATATGAGTCAGAGCGACCAAACAAGTACTTTTACTTTAATACTTTAGATAGATTTTGCCACTTATACTTATGTACTTCTACTTAGGCAGGATTTTTTTTTTAAATTGAGAACTTGTACTTGTGATGTAGTATTTTTATACTGCAGCATTAGTACTTTTAACTCAGTAAATAATCTGAATACTTCTTCCACTGCTGGTATGTTTGTATAAATGTTGAGTCACTGATCATTAAATCAGCTGCAGATTCACCAATATGCAGCGTGACTGTTAATTAAATAAATATTTACTGATTTCCATGTTTATCCACAATATAGCAGCTCAAAGTCCAAAGAATCAAAAATGTTGTTATTTGTTTTACTAAGAAACAGTCAATTTACTATCTTCACTTGCCGACTACATAGTTTTCCTGTTTGTTTAAACTGAAGTATTTCAAGCTTCTTTTCAATAAGTACCGTAACACTTTCCTCATTTCTCATTGAATTAGTGCCAAAATATGCAGAACTTTTGAGGCAATTCTTCTCTGAAAACTGATTTTAGAGAAGCTACCAGGAGATACTAGTTGGAAGCTACCAAACAAGACAAGTGGTAGCTCACTTCATCAGATCCTACCTTCATGGAGGTTCATGTGCTCCTGCAGGGAGTGTTTGGTGGAAAGCGCTTTGGAGCAGATGCTGCAGACGAACGGTTTTTCTCCGGTGTGCATTCGCTGGTGGGCCAGCAGAGTGTGCTTCTGGGTGAAACGCTTCCCACAAACCAGACACTGGAAAGGCTTCTCTCCTGGGACAAAGAAAGAAGTGAGTTAAGTCAGGTGATTTGATATGAGCAGTACAGACATGGGTGATTTGATTTGGCTCCTTCTCCTGATAGGATCAGTCGTCTGTGATGGATGCTGGCTGTTGTTTTTATACATTAAACCCTCATCATGAGACATATTTGCTCTTTTTGAACAATCCAAAAATATGACATACATTGTCAGACATTAGTATATTTACATTTTGGGAAATATTTGAAATAATGGTCAAAACTATAAAAGAAGACCATTCTGTAATAAAATCCCCTTTAACCTCTAGAACACACCGTATAACTCACATAAGTCAATTCAGAGTTGATAAAGTTTGAAACAGACGTTAAACCTAAATTCTCTTCAACAGAGAAATAAAATGAATGTTACAAAAATACCTGACAAGCTTAAAAACACAAAATTATGTATTACATAAATATATCTGACTAATGTAAATATTGAAGCTATTATCCTATAGAATTATATATTATATAGCTATACCTCATTACCATAAATATTAGGATTATGATCCCATAGTATAACATATTATAAAACTATATCTGACTATCTTAAATATTAGGTTTATGATCCTACAGTATAATTTATAATGCAAATATACCTGACTAATGTAAATATTAGGGCTATGATCTTATAGTATTGTATCTAAATATAGTCAACTAATTTAAATATTAAGGCTTTGAAGATACAGTATAATATATTATATAAATATACAAGGGTCATTTAACTATTCAGACTTTGATCCCACAGTATCATATATCAAATCAATATATCTCACTAATTAAAATACTAAGATTACGATCCTACATTAATTATTTTAAATATACCCAACTAATTTAAATATGACACCTATAATGCCACAGTATTATACAAATATATCATACTGATGTACAGATTAAGGCTATGATCTTACAGTATCATTTACTAAATAAATATACGTGACTAACTCTGGAGCTCATGATCCTACAGCATTACTTCTTAAACAAGCGTACCTGACTAACAGATTACCTGTGTGAGTCCTCTGGTGAATCTTTAAAAACAGGGGGTTCTTGAACACCTTTCCACAGTCCTCACACCGTGCCTCAGCGTTTGGGTATTTCCTCCTCCTGCCCCTCTTTCCAGGCTCTTTGCTTCCTGCTGCTGTGTCACTGCCCACCTTGTAGCCCTGATATTTAACCGGTGGCCTGACTTTGCGTTTGCTCTGGCGGCTCTGATGTGCTCTGGGGTCATAATCTGCATCGTCTTTAGGTTGCGACTCTCCATCATCTCCGGCCTGCACGTCCTCTGAGCTGTCACATGCTGCACTTTTACCTTCCTGCTGTATTTCAGGAGCAACTACGTTCTTCTTCGGCCGTCCTCTTTTGCATTTCAACAGATCTGCCACCTCGGCTTTGTCTGTTTTTAATGCTGTGACCTCTGACCTCTTTGTGAGCTCAGAGAGCACTTTGACGAGGTCACTGACTTCCATGAGGTGAGCCGTGGCCAGGAGCTGCTCGGTGGCGCCCTCCTCCACGGAAACCTGAGCGCTGTAGATGAACTCCAGCACTGCAGCAAACATCTTCGCCGCCATGCCGTCCAGCCGGTAGGTGGACTGACGGATCTGATCCTCGGACGTGAACATGAGGGAGAAGTACTCGCTGCTCGCTGCCAGCAGGGCTTTGTGCGCCTTGAAGTGCACGTCCTCTACAACCAGAGTGATGTCGCACAGCAGCTCCCTTTTCCTGAGTTTGTTGAATTTGCTCAGGATGCTCTGTTTGTGTGAGTCTGAGTGAAGGGCTACGAGCGAGGAGGCTGGAGTTGTTGCTTTCTGAGACATCTTCCCCTCAAAATCAAACACATCTGCTCCTGAAAACAATAAAAAGAAAGTGTCAGAACAAGGTAACAGTGCATGAGCATCACGTAAAGGAGCGGCGTGTGTTTAAATTTACAAACTTTAATCAAGTAACTTTTACTGCTTAAGCATGTATGGCTACAGCTGCAAGTACCAAGCATTTTAATTTGTTATTTGTTTAATTTGTTATTCTTTCATTTTCTCATTTAATCAATTAATTGTTAAATTTAAAATTGTAAGAAATTATGGGGGAAAAAAACACCTGGAAAGTTCTCAGAGCCTAAAATAAACAGATATTTTCAGTATGCTGATTTTGTCAAAGTTTGGCCATAACGTCTCAAGCTCAAACATATGATTAGTTTGGTTTTTGATTAACCCATTTTCTTTAAAAATCTGTTTGTTAAAAACAGTAAAAAATAGTAAAAAAAATGTGGATCAGTGTTTACCAAAGCTACAACCCAAAGATATTTCATTTACTGTCAGACGAAGACAGAAAATATTCACATTTAAGAAGCTGACATCAGTGGATTTAGACTTTGTTTCTTACTCTACTTAAACCAATAATCGATTATCAAAATTTTTAATAATCGCAGCTCTACTTAAAATATTCACCTTATTGTCACCAAAGAAGCAGCAAATAGTCACATTTGAGACACTGGAAACAGAAAATGTTGAAATTTCTTGTTGGAAAATCGACTAAAAATGATTAAAGAAATATCAAAATTGCTGCACATTCATTTTATTTTGAATAACTAATCAAAAAGCAGCACTGTTGCCT